CAATGTATAATAAAATGTAACAAACATAATAGGACAAAGTGAAAAAAGCCAGCTCAGCACAAGGCATGAGTGCGTGTTTGACACCTTGTACAGTGTCACTAGTTTAATGAGGAAAGTAGGCACGCCAAAATATATAATGGAATAAGTAATCGGAGACTATAAATATGCATGAGGGATATCGTTACAGCCCAAAGCACCCTCAGAAGAGACTTTAAAAGGCATAATGTCACTAAAAACCCAGTCAGCATAAACAAAATGACAAGTACATTATTTACTATTACCAGATCTGAGTTAGAGTGCACATTTACAGTCAAGTCAGAGATTAGTCAGACATGGTGTTGATGCCTCTGGATCTTTGTAAAGATCCACCTAAAGACTGTAAAGATTGTAAAGAAATGAGGTCGCCCTAAACTTTGCTGATGTCTGAGGGCAAGCATGGTCAGGCAGGACTATACTCCACTACCAACCCACCCGTGTGTGACTCAGACTATCACAGCATGACATCAGCACAGAGAAAAATACAACCATTTTTCTTTGTGCATTTGGATCCTTCTTTGGCTGAGTTTGAGCTCAGAGGAGAGCAGATCGGGTAAAATCACCTCCTTTATGGTTATGGATTTGCATATGAACCATGAACTAATGGTGAGACGACATAGTCAATGACATATAGCCTTACTGACAAGCCATTAGCGGTCTGGATCTTATTGAAAGCCATTTACTGCAAACAGTAAAACATGCAAAGCTATAAAAGACATTACATTGTTTTGATCAATCTTCTCACAGCAGTTCTTATCTTTACTGTGGGTTTAATGTTCAACTGCATTCCTGAAAAGACATTAAGTAATATTAATAGTCAGGTACATAAGTTTTTATTATCCTCAGTATGTAAAATTAGCATTAGAACTACAAGAAAACATTCTAAAAGGTACAGATAAAAGTTTGCATCATAAACACATTTCCTTACCAGTGTCACAGCAAACTTCACTACATGGTATTATCCCAACAGAAGATTAACTGAGCGTATTCTCGTTTCCTCTACTGTCTCGGTCTTTTAGGCTGCACTGCCTTCTTGCATACATCAGCGCACATAATGAAGCGTAATGACAGATAATTTGTTCAGTGATGCGCTGCCTTTTAAAGGCAAGACAAATGGATGCCATCAGTAGCTCTTCCACTACTTTTGATACCCCTAATGTGAACATAGCGTGGTGTTGTTAGATGTCTAGCATAAAGGCCAAGCACTACATTTCCCATAAACACACAAGCTCACTCTGTCACTGTGGGATCTCTGAAGTCTGACAGTTTTATTGAAATCAGTTTGCAAACAAATGTTTGTTACAATGCTCCCCACAGGGGGCAGTCATTAAACAAACCACATGACAAAGCCAAAGTGTTTATCTGCTCAGCTACACATCAGCAGAAGCAGGCAGGCACACAAGAGCCAGAACACTCACATAAAACATGCATACAACATAGCAATAACTATTATTACACACACATTCTTCACAAAATGAAACCACCAATTTGTATCCAGACAAGAGCTGAACAATGGCCCTTGAGAGTCCAACATCAAATTGAAACAGTCATAAAGCACGATGTACATGCAATCTTTCACTCGGGAGTCGTCAATGAACTATGCTGAGGCAGAATATTGGCATATAGGCAGATTTTACAATATTCTCTTCATACGACATTGCTCTGAAACTGTATATATAAATGTAAGCGTATTATGAGGGTACTATATGCCAGTTATGTTACCCGGACTGGTGTTACCGGGGCCCCACCCTGGAGCCAGTCCTGAGTATTCCAGTGTGAGTGCTCCACATCAAGCGTCTGTTGGCCAGGCCGTCTCCCACAGGTCGAAGGAGCAATGTGGGGCCATCCTCCCCTGGACGCACCACCCACAGGAGGATCCATATGGGGCCGGTTACACTATAACATATATTCCTCTAATAATTTCTGCATTACTGCAAAATCAATGCAATAGCTCACCCATCATAATTTTGTAATACATTAGAATTGTTGCTGTATGTATTTTAATGACTCCTTTCTGTGTAGACTCTGTATCTGACTGTGTGACAGGTGCGTTGGAGGAGAGACGCTTTTTAGCTGAAAAACATTTTTAAGACTCCCGCACACTACCTCACACTTGGTTCACTTTTATTTGTACAATGTTTCAGTATACCTCTGACCTTCCTCAGGTATGTCTTTTAATTTGCCAGATTTTCTTTCTTTTTTTTTCTATCAGAGGTTACTTCACGACCTGGTTTAGTCAGCATTTTGTAAAAAAAAAAAAAAGAAAGACCATTTCTATGACTGCTGATGAACATCTTTATAAGCTTTACATCGTTCTTTTTTCAATCAGCAGTAATGCATTTTAATAATAGTGGTATTCATCTTATTCATTTTATTTTCTACTTTGTATGTTAAATGTTATTTTATAGTGTCAATAATTTTTACTCAAATAGCTGCTGCTGATTAAACCTTCACATTTCCTAGAGAGTAGACTAGAACTTCTTGAGTGACAAAACCAATTAACACAGAGGAGGTCAAATCAAATCAGAAGATCAAATTAAAGAGAAATTCTCAGAGAGGCATTGCATGCTGGGAATCTACAAAGCCAAAAACTGACTGGATGATTGGCTATTAAAAACCTGAAATGAGCTCCTATTGCTCAACGTCTATCACAGCACGCGGCGCTCATGTTACAGAGGAACTAAATGATGGAAGGCTCTAATTTGTGTCATATTGACACTTTTTCATTTAACCGAGGCATATGAATACAGCTGTTGTTCATTCACATTCAGTATTAACCCTACGCTGGCATATTGTGAGAAATGCTAATAAAGCACAAGAAATCATCCACCAGCCAAATGACTCACAAGTAGCTAATGCGTAAAAATTACACTACAAAATTGTATAACACAAAAGGCAAAGTAGCGCAGCACGAACAAAAGAAAAACATAGTATTTTCGATGGGGATTACATTTGCGAGTTGGGTTTAATAATGGAATTCTGTTCAGAGTGCACATTGTACAAAACTTTCAGAATTAAGATTTGAGGAAAGACTGAAATACAAACTGCTTAACAAATACAAATACAAGAACATTTCTATGCTTATTGTTTATGAGTTAGACTAGACTACACACACAGTAATGCAATGAACACTAAAGGATCGACCAGAGACTGAGACAAATTATCAAACAGTACAGATACAAATGTGTTAGTACAGTACTGTACTGATCCACACAAAAAATACCATGTAGTCCTTCCACTTTTGTTGATATGCTTCGAACACAACAAATTAAGAGCATAAGTTGTTAAAAAAGTCATAGTGGCACAAATAAATTTACAATTAATTATTAGTTATTAGGATTGTCACTATATAAAAATCTGAAACATATATATTTCTACAGATAAAAAGCTATAAATGATAATATATAAACTACTTTATGCCACTGACAAAATTAAAATAAAGCAGGATAATCCCAGTAAACCATTTTTAAATAGACAGTATCATTAAAAGGCAAAGCTGCAACAAATAAATAGCAGATAAACCAATAATTAACCATAGAAGTCACTTATTTACCATTCTACAACTCAAATATTATCGTATTACGAAAAGAAATTGCACACATGACAAATATTGAGCTCCAAAATATATAGTTCCAGCTTTCATGTATTGAACGACAAGTCCATATAGTAATATCGTGACAGGCCTATTAGTTATTATGATAATCTGACTAGGCAATGGATTTTTAGCTGTGTAGTCAGCACAAAAGCAAACCTAATAACAGACTCTAGGGAAGGCCTGTTTGACACATTTCTCTGGCTCACAGATTTTATTCAAGCCTACCCATACAACACATGTGACAATGTTTGACACCAAAGAGAGCAGTGGGCACATGATAATGATGTTGTGAATATAGAGATCAAAGTGGGCCCACTCCGTTGATTAAGCGCCCTAACACACGGCGGCATGAGGACAGCCTTATCGCCGTAGCCACACAGAAAAACCTTCCATATCTGCTCTTCTCAGATGGGCAACCTGTGCCCAACTCAGACTTCGTGCCCAAACCAAAAAAAAAAAAAAAAAAGAACACGAACAGCCTCTATAGCCACAGTTTGAAAGTAAATCAGTTTTATGAGTTTTGAAAAGTTTGCATTACTAGCCCTTTAGGACCACTTGCCCGTAATTAATGTACAGGGTATGAGGCCATTTCTGTTATTGCACAAGTATTTACATCGGTGCAGTTGTACACTAACCTTGGGAACTATTAAGTAGGAATGTTATTTTGAACAATAGCAATAAAATGTCAAGCCTCACAAATCCTTCCTTTCTTTTCTTTTCTTGACACTAATGACAAAAATGGCATGTATTCTCGCCTTAAACTGCAGAGATTAAGACTTTTATTATCACACTAAAAGGCAAGTATTTAAATAGATGGCATTTGATTTTAATTACCTAGAGTGACTAACTGACTAATTAAATTAGCACCAACGGCACCCCAGAATTAAGTCTGTTACTTTACTTGACACTTGAAAAAGAACATTAACATTATTAACAGTACTACAGCATTATTACAACAACATCCAACTGTAAAAGTATTTTGTTTCATTTGTACACTCAAATCTCTACCTTCAACCTCTTTAATTGTGTAAAAAGGAAATAATAAATAAATAATCACATAAGTAAGTAAGAAAGCGTAAGTCTCTAGAAATGTAACACTGTTAATGGAAATTGAAATTTAAATATAATGAAAGCTGTATCCACACATTGTAATGAAAACGGAATGTGTGTGAAACTAATGTATCAGGTTTCAATTACATTTAAGACCAAAAATATTTAGTTTGCAAAAACTAAAAGGTTAAATCTGAATAAAAACTGCAGAAATCTTACATTTTTGAGGAAAAGAGCAATAGCTAAAAATAATAATGGAAAGTGTGTCCAGTGAGCCTGAGCCGAGGTGTGAAGCCCAAAGATTTCATAAGGGCCTTACCTGAGAGTAAACATCTCCACGGGCGAGTAAGCAGCCACACTGATAAAGGCAGAGACGGTCTCCTTCTGTCTCATGGGTGTAGCCGGCACCAGGACCACAAAGTTATTATCCAGCCTGCGCTCGGAGAGGGGCGGGGGCACCGGGTTCTGGTAGAGCCTCACCCCTCCAATCCTTCTCAAGGGTGTCGAGGTGTACGATCCAAACATCCCTTCTTGGCTTGAGCGGATAAAACTCTCCTTCCTAGCTTCTTCGGAGTGGCATTCCCCAGCTTCCGGGGACTGCAGCGTGTAGTAGAGCTCCACAGGGGTGCCTTCAGAGACCTCTATGTTTTTTTGGCGTCCTGGCACAACACTGGGGGGGCTAAACCAACTGGCAAGGGGCTCAAGTTCAGCCACACACAGTCCTGACCCCTCTGTCCCCCCCTTGAGATGGCAACTGCCCCGGACTTCCTGCGTTTCATGAAATGCGAACATGTGCACACAGGGTAAGTTGTCTATCGTGCTATAGTCGTCCCAATTTCTCCCCACGATATTAAAAAGTACCTGCACTTTTGGCTTGGCAAGGTGAATTTTAGTATTCATAATGAAAGTTTGTACCTTCCAGTTGAATGTGAAAAGGGAGGAGGTGGGAAAAGTTCCAGGAGTCTGCAGTAGTTCTAAGGGAATGGGTTGGACCACTGAGAGGGGACCGTAGCTGGCATTGACCAAAGGCAAACGTCTGGCCTGGTGAATGAAAAAAGATTCAGTACGAGACATTAGACTGGAGTTTCTCATGAAGTCCTGGTTGGCCTCCTTCAAGAAGAATGCCTGCTCAGCATTGAGGAGCTGGTAGTTGACGGGAAGATACGTGGGCATGGAAGTATACCGCAGTAAGCCGTCCAGCATGCGACACGCTGCAACAAACAGAAAAGCAAGTTAAGCATCTTTGTAGAAGACAAATGTAAGTGAAGTTATACTGAAAAGTAAGCAGTATACAAAAACACTAAATCATTTAGCTGTGCGCAACAACTGTCAATGCGAACATTAAAGATGTTATGAGAATGTTTTTTGTGACATGTGGATTCTGTCCTTCCTCTCAAGGCCAGTCTACTGTTTGATCAGAGCCAAATCAGACAGGTTTGGGTTTGAAGTTGCACTTCTACAAATAGCTGCCCTCAGGGACCAAATGGTGGAGCTGACCTCCACTTCCAAAACTATGATCCAACTCAAGTGTCAGAGTGTTCCAGAGACTAAAACTGGACCCACGACAAAGGACAATGACTTCTGAGCAGTGGAGCACTACCGAGCAATTTGTATTTTTCCTGAACAAGCTGCAGCTCTGGGCTTGTTTGTTGGCACCAGCAGTGGCTGTATACGCAGCATTACACCGCTGACAAATGAAGGGGTTGATACAACAGCAAGAGCAAACTGTGGGAACAGTCACACAGTCGTCCTGTCCTCCCGCTAGAGCAAAGTGAAACATTATTCATGATCTTCTCTGAAGCAGCTGCTGAGGATTAAAATGTAACCAGAGTCTCATATGTTTATTCACACAAGCTGGAAAACGAGATTGGAACACTGCTCATTAGAATATCAGCAAACTAATACTGTATGAGGCCAATACATCAAAACTGATACAGTACGTGGATTCTAAACACTTACATCAGATAAATGACGGCATATTATGAGCTAATATTAGCTTAAATATTTGCTTCTGTAAATCATGTAGCCCTATTTAGACATGCATGACCATGCTTACATGCATAACATGTAATCTCAAATGACAAAGATAAAATAATATAAATATATGAATAAATTAAAAAAATAATACTAATAATATAACCTCCCTCTTCTTTTCTTTTGTTTCTTTTGTTTCTGCACCATTTTGTGAAGCTAAAGTGAAAACTTGTGTGAAATGTGCTTTCCCTAACCTCAAGTTCACTGGTGATTAAAAGCACTTTAACTTTTAACAGTGAATGTCACAGCCTGTTTATCATGGCTTATTAGCTGTCATCTGGAAACATGTGCGACTAAACCTGCAACTCTGAACCACAACAGTAAAGCTATAACCCGTAAAAACAACCTCAAATGTGTTAAAATGCCCAGAACATTGGTGCAGTCAAGTGAAATAAGTTGAGAAATTATTTTTATGAGCACAATATTACAAATTTCTTACATCGTAATGTGTTTCTGTTATAAAACATTTGGATTAATGCAGCTTTTGCAAATCATATTATTAAAAAAGACACTGGGCATAAAACACTAGCACAAAAAGTACAGAGATAATGATAATTCAAGTGAGGAAAATGTCTGCTTCAGCATTACATTTTATGGCCCACATCATGTATTATTTAACTCCCCTATTGTTACATTTGAATAGTCAAATTAAAACAAGAAGTAAGGTGCTGGTAGAAATGAAAAGTTTGAGTCTTTATTTGCAGTCTTTAATATTTTTCTGTTTACTCCGCAGAACAGCTGCCAGTGCCCTCCCTGACAGCTCTGTGATAAGAGCTCACACAAACACTAACAACAGATGTCTTGTAATTGTTGTGTTGTCGTTATGAAAGCGCTGCATTTCTCCCACTTATTTATCTCCTCTGACATTTCCTCTTTTCTCTCTTCATTCACTTGAGATATCAAAGACTAGATGCTCTTTCTGTACAAGCTCATGTACACATCACAACACATGGATCAAAGAAGGTGAAAAGTTGTATCATGTGTTATATCACACATGTTGGTATTTATATGCATGCCAAAGATAGGTTCATCTATAGCAAAAGAAAATGAAATTCTGTCAGCAGGACAAATGTTTTTAGACTGAAGATGTTTTACAGCTCCTCGATCACAGGTATATAAGGCGGTATCCACCAGCAACCTGACCACAATTGAACAAGCTGCTTCTATGAGATGAGAAACGTCTTCACTCTAAAAACTTTTATCCAGCTTTTGATATAGATTAACCTAGCTTTGGCACATGGCCAGAACAAATATAATATGACGTGGCATCATTTGTCCCTTTCTACCTGTGCACTTATGTAGAGAGATTAAATTGTGCTTGTGGTGGCCCACTGGAGTGGTGAGTTAGGGTTAGGCTCTGCAGTGTCAGCTGTGCAATGATGATAAATGACAAAAAGTTTACACAGACTCTGTGTATAAAACCAAACATTTACCCACTAACAAGAATACTACCACTGCTAAATAAATAGGGCTAGACCAAGAGTATCTATAAAAAACTACTTTCAAGGAAAGTTTGGCTGGTTCGAAAGTTAACCTTGATTTTGTCAGACTAGTTTATGAATCTCCTGTTTTTCTCAGTTCCATTTTCCTTTTTTAAATCTCCTTGTAGTTACACACTATATTTCAAATTCTGAGAGCAGCAGGTTGGGGGATGTCTCAGGTGAGTGCTAACTAGCCAGGCAGCACAGTTCCCTTTAAGCAGAAGCATACAAGCTCACTCAGGCTAGCACCAAGACTCCACTCTAGGATATAGGACTACCGGAGCGAACACCAGCCTTCACACTCTCACAGTCAGAGTAAATGAACATCTACAATGGAGGCCACCAGGGAGCGACAGGCCCAGCTCCTGCTGCCTGCTGCCTACTGCTCCAGCCCATGTGGGGGCTGGACACTCTGCTGAGTGCCCCCTAACTGCTCCACTGGTCAGATGTACGTGTTTAGACTTCAGTGCACATGTCAAGACAGATGTGCAGTAAGAAACAAGGACACACTGCTCTTATGAAAATTGATGGACAGAAATATTGAGAAAAACATAGGAAAATGTTGATTGATTATAAATGAGTGCAGAGTGAGTGCAGTGTGATTTTATATTATCAGAGGTGGAAGCCGAGCCTAAAAAAAATCTGTGCTTAAGTCAATACTTCACTCAGTTCAAAATTTTAAATCTTTTAGCAGCAAGGAATGGGAAATATACATTTTTTAAAATCCAAGTTAAATTTTAGGCTTTTTTTCCACTGCAAAACCTACAAGCTCCATTCATATGGTCCTCATGTGGTTGGGTTACTGAGATGAGGAGTTTGGGTTCTGACTTGTTTTATGTCATCAAATATAAAACCAGTGGGCCGGTATAGGACAACATTTATTAGAATCAAGATTTGTTGTTGTTAACCTTCTAAAAGCTAAAGGTTTTGTTTCGGAAAACATCCAATGAACGCAATTCCATTCCTTCTGCTTTTAGTGCTGTTGTCCAAGCCGCCCAACAGTAAACCATGTATGGTGATTCATTCCCCCAAACTTTCCAGAATCATTTTTTATTGTAAAATTAATATTCCATATTAGTAGTCGTGGTGTTGCTTTGAAGAAACAAAACAAATGATCGTTCATAGGTGAAGCACTTGTCGAGATTTACAAGTGCGGTGGTCCTGACCCTGGTCCTGACCCCGAGTTGCTCTGTGCTTCAGTGTGAATGTCAAACAGGACAGTCTTAAGCAAGAACAATGAGCGCCAGCCTCTGAGACTCATTGGATTATACACATCATATTTCTCACTGTGTTCAATTAATAAGGGTCTATTGAGTTTGTGCCCATCCATCAAGAATAATAAATACAATATTTCCTTCAAGAATCATTTGTGGATGATTTATGCTTCAGAGTCGACCAAGAAATTCGAGAAAGAGAGACTAGGGGAGGGATCAATACATGACACAGTATTGTATTACGCCATGCCAGCCTCCATAGAACAGAAATCATTCAGGTAGATGGGGTCGGGGCTGCAATCAAGAGCATCTCCAGTTTACAGATTTTCCAAGATAATTCGTCTATACTTTATCTCAGAAATGAGCTGAATTCAATGCGCAATAATTGTTCTTGATTACGGGTCAGTTCAAATTACTGTGTGTGAGAGTCAGAGGCAGGACCAGCTGGGCATGTTTCGAACCTCTCCGCTAATGGATGGCCCATGTATAAGACGCTAAGAGCTAATAAAGAGTAATGGGCTTGTGGCTTTCACCGGGGGACCGCGGGAAGGAGCTATTTTGAGTTCATGAGAGAAAGCATCATCTCGGGGATTAAAGAGTATCGACCAGGCCAAGGAGTAAACACATACTCTGCCATGCTGCTCCACTGGCCTATTTGGTAAAAAGGCCTGCAGATGGGACAGCAAATAAGCACTGTTTGTTGGTATATGGTCAGCGGGGATGTCATTATGGGAGGTTGTGAGCTAGAGCCTCCAGGTGCAGTGAGGCGGGGGGCACTGATAGGTCTGATCCAGTGTTATCACAGCAAGAACCCTGGGCATCCTGCAGGCACAGAACAACCTCTTCCTTGTGCCAACGGGTGCACATGGCTAGAGGGGGCAGGGTTGCAGACATTTGGGATAAAACAAAAAGCAAGTCTGTGCGCCTATCAGTATTCCTCTTGCCCTCTCCAAACTGCGATACAACATAAACTCAGCTCCAACTCCCCCTAATGAATTTCTTCCCCTCTCACACAACGCTTTATTGCAAAGCGATATCGTAAATCAGACTAAATACAGAGGCATCTGCAGGGGTAGAGCTGGGCAGCCCTTCTGTAAGTGTGGCAGGGCATTAAACGGCGTGTAAGCACAGTTAAAATGAGGAACAAGTGGACGGAAAGCCAAGGAAGACTTAATGGCCATAGACTCCCATGCTCAACCATTATAAACCTGCCGACAGGAAGATAATAGCTAATACACACTGATTGAAACTCAAGCCTGCAGTAATGAGCAAAATGAAATAATTAGTTTCCAAACAAAAATAATCCTGTTATTGTAAAGCACATCTGTAGAGCAAAGATAAGAACTCCACTCATTAGAAAGGGAGTATAACATTAATGTGTGCCAAATATATATTCTAAACCTGTTCTTTGTACTGGTATAATATATTGTGATGGAAATCCCAACACCGCAGATGACGGTGAAGATAAGGATAT